CTGATAATCAACAAATTGATGCACACAAGTATTTTGCAGAGGTCTTCACCCCTTTAATCTGCAGATTCATATTTCCATTTGTATGTGCAATTATTTGCAGTTCAACATTTTTTTTTTTTTTTTCAGAAAGTTAATGATAAAACCTTTTATTACACAATATTTCCAATTTCAAATTAAACCATTTCCAACCGGAGGAAGATTTTACCTGAGAATAAAAGTAAAGACACACCACTGCATGTGCGCTGATTCAGAACCAGAACTGGGTTCATAAAAACAAGTGCAGCAGATTCATTTCTGCCCCTATGGATATGAATATCTTTTATGGACTGTTTTTGTATTGTTTATTGGTGGTTTAAGTTGTGTTCGTTGTGGGTGGATGTTTTCAGCACCATCAGCAGTCTGTGATTTATTATATGTTCAGTTTATAGGCACAAATATATAATTTGGTTATGAGCTGTAACAGATAAATACAATCTCAACATTTGTTGGTCTTCTGTTATGTCTAAATCACCAATGCTAAAGTGTCTTTAGATGCTATTGATGCTGTGATTTCTACTGAGAGGAAACCCGGTCGTTCAGGAACACAAAATACATTCACACGAGTCAGACAGGCCTCATCACACAACTGCTACAGCAAACAAAAGCCAGGTATTTGAATATTGAGCAGCGATCTCATTGGCTACCGATACAGGAGAGAACCAATCAGCTGTGCCATGTGATAATGATGTCACCAGGTCAGATTGAGCTAGACCTATCGGACTGCGCCATCTAGAGTTTCATGCCAGAACTCTGTATCTCTGTTTTTTCTGGAAACGAAAGTCGTCTCTCACCACAAATGATGCATTCATTTCACACGCAATATAAATTAACGTGGGAAATATAAACACTGTGCAATACAATATTCTGCTAGAGTATTTTTAATAAGATTATATTAGAAAATAGACATCACTGGCTTCAGTAAATGAGAATTAAACAGATATTTTAAGACATTTTCAAATAATTTTATCATAACAGTACAGAGACATTTTCAAATTATATATACAATATATCAGAATAGCTGATAATCAACAAATTGATGCACACAAGTATTTTGCAGAGGTCTTCACCCCTTTAATCTGCAGATTCATATTTCCATTTGTATGTGCAATTATTTGCAGTTCAACATTTTTTTTTTTTTTTTCAGAAAGTTAATGATAAAACCTTTTATTACACAATATTTCCAATTTCAAATTAAACCATTTCCAACCGGAGGAAGATTTTACCTGAGAATAAAAGTAAAGACACACCACTGCATGTGCGCTGATTCAGAACCAGAACTGGGTTCATAAAAACAAGTGCAGCAGATTCATTTCTGCCCCTATGGATATGAATATCTTTTATGGACTGTTTTTGTATTGTTTATTGGTGGTTTAAGTTGTGTTCGTTGTGGGTGGATGTTTTCAGCACCATCAGCAGTCTGTGATTTATTATATGTTCAGTTTATAGGCACAAATATATAATTTGGTTATGAGCTGTAACAGATAAATACAATCTCAACATTTGTTGGTCTTCTGTTATGTCTAAATCACCAATGCTAAAGTGTCTTTAGATGCTATTGATGCTGTGATTTCTACTGAGAGGAAACCCGGTCGTTCAGGAACACAAAATACATTCACACGAGTCAGACAGGCCTCATCACACACACACACCAGCATTTATGAGCAATAAACCGAGTAATTATGAGTGCGGCGCCGCTCACGCTGGACTCTTTTAAAAGCAAGTACTTCTGTACTTTTACTCAAGTAAAAATCTGTCTTTACATCTTTCACTTGTACTGGAGTAATATTTGACCAGCAGTATTTGTGCTTTACAAATATATATATATAAGCTTTGAACCTTTTCCCAGAACAATCAGAGGAAGCCTCAGTGCTTTAGACACACTATTTTCCTAATTAATGCTGTTCAGTTGCTTTGACACAATCTGTATTGTTAAAAGCGCTATATAAATAAAGGTGACTTGACTTGACTTTAAGAAACTTTAATTTCTCATCCTTATTTCACACGGCCAGAATAACAGACAAGCTAGTGGTGTGTCGTTCGCGGACGAGCCGACTCTAAGAGCCGATGCTTTGTAGCGACTCCCGTCGGGGAGAGCCGAATCTTCAGCCGGAGCCTTCTATTTTAGCCCAATTTAGCAGTTGTGAATGGTTTGTGTGTTAGGAAGCAATTTTTTTATTTAGTGTTTTCATGAAAGCCTTTTTTTAATGCTTTTTTTCGTTACAAAAAAAATTATAAAAAGAAATACACATGCGGCTAATCACACGGGAGGATAGACTAGGATCATACCATTATGTGAAAGAAGGAATGGGGACGAGCTCCGAAGACAGCGAGTGCAGTGCTACAGTCCAGATACACAGAGCGACAGAGAGACGGGAGCCGGATTTAAACGCAAGCGCGTTGGTTAGTGGTTCCCAATCCTGGTCCTGGAGAACCCCCAACACTGTCTCCCTATTCAAACACACCTGATTCAACTCATCAGCGAAGACTCCAAGACCTCAAATGTGAGTGTCAGAAAAGAGAGACACCAAAACCGTGCAGTGTTGGGGGCTCTCCAGGACCAGGATTGGGAACCTCTGGGTTAAGGTCCCTCAGAGCAGTGGTCTTCACTATGTTTTTCATGGGAGCAGCACTGATAGGGCAAAGTCAATCGGAGAGCCACTTTTACCGCCAAGTATCAAAAGTTATATCCAGTCATAAATAGTATGTATTTTTATCAATCTGTCATATGCAATGCAATACAAAAGGGGCCATCATTCTTTATCATTTACCAGTCAAATTTGTAACTGACACCGGATTATAAAAAACTAAAAAAAAAAGCAGGATTACCTTAATGCTGGAAATTAAGTTATTTTATTTTTTTATACTAGCCCATCATGTATCTAACCATCCAAGTGCACATTCGGCGTTAAGAGCTGTTAAGATTAAAACTGGGAACTCCGCAGTGAGTCAGTGTCATGGACGTAAGACCGAGCAAGTGCAAATATCTTTTCTAGTCTATTTTTCCATCTTGTAATGCTACTGTTTTAGATATATATAATTTTTTATATATAAATTATTTGTAATAGAGCAGACCCTGCCTGACCGTGTCTACACCGGAAGCGATAGTTGCAAATCATCTGAACGTAGTGTCAGCACAGTTCGTCATAAATAGTAAAGTAAAGCTTGGCGAGCCGCGCAATGAGTAACTGCTTCAGAGGGTCTTCTCAAAAACAGGACAAATAATCACAGAGAGGAGAAATCGCATCAGCACATCCAAGCGAAGGCATCTGATATTTCTGAATGCCAACCTGCACTAAAGACTAAAGTGTTATTAGTTTTATTAAAACGTTAAATAATGGTATGAGTTTTTTTTGTAACAAAAAAAATTCATAAAAAGAGCTTTTATGAAAACACTGAATAAAAAAATTTGCTTACCAACACAAACTATTCACAATTGCTGAATTGGGCTAAAATATAAAGCACCGAATGATACGGAATAAAGAGCCATTTGGGAGTCGAGCCAAAAGAGCCAAACTTCTCATCACGAAGAAAAACACCGTTGTGGAACGAGTTTAAAATAACCTACTAGAACTTTGCTACGTTATTTTAAACAAAACTTAGAATGGTTGAAAGTTACAAACCCTTCACAATTAAAGTGTCTTTCAGAGATAAGATGGGTGGCTCTTAAAAGAGCCTTTGTGTGTGAGCGCTGGAGCGGAGCTCTACTTGGAGCTGGTGTACTTGGTGACGGCCTTGGTGCCCTCAGACACGGCGTGTTTGGCCAGCTCCCCGGGCAGCAGCAGACGCACGGCGGTCTGGATCTCTCGGGAAGTGATGGTGGAGCGCTTGTTGTAGTGAGCGAGACGAGACGCTTCACCGGCGATGCGCTCGAAGATGTCGTTGACGAAAGAGTTCATGATGCCCATCGCCTTCGAAGAGATCCCGGTGCCAAGATGAACCTGCTTCAGCACTTTGTAGACGTAGATGGCGTAGCTCTCCTTCCTGGTCTTTCTGCGCTTCTTTCCTCCCTTCGCTGCGGTCTTAGTGACGGCCTTCTTGGAGCCCTTCTTAGGCGCGGACTTTGCTGGTTCAGGCATGATGCTACTGTGGGATCAATATCTCACGAGACAATGATTAGAATGAGCGAGACAGAGGCATTTATTCACTAATCTATGCTAATTATCAAAGAGATGTGGACGCTTCTGATTGCTGTGTTTTCACAGACTCAACCCATAAACCCGTGTGTGATTGGACAATTCGAAGTATCACGAGCGGAACGAGGGCCAATCACAGGCTGTGAAATGATAGCCCCGCCCACCGCTCCGTGTTCTACATCAGCCCACATGACTGTTTCCTTTGTTTCAATTCCCGCTCTTTTTGTTAGTCATATATTCTATACAAGAAAACAAATGCGTCTCAAATATCACACAGGATCAATATCATAGCGTGTAATTTCTAAACCCCTTATAAACCAATTGAGAAAATTTGGAGAAAGGGAAACACTAACGATATGACAGTATTTATTCTCCTCCGTTGTCCTGCCAATTTCACTTCTACTCAAACATAAGTAACAATGCCATCTGATTGTTTCCTCTTTATTTTATAAATCACTTTAATTCAGCCTAAAGAAAAAAATGCGATGTAAGAAAAAACAGACACATGCTCTCAATGTGTGCGCCTCTGACAGCAATACATGACATTATACAAGCTCCAATTTTGAGAATCAGAAAGAGCTTTATTGCCGGGTGACTGAAGTTTCCACAGCAGACAGAAAACTGATCAAACATAAAAATAAATAAATAAGATACCTAAATAAGAGCTAGTTTTCGGCTCGAAGATAAGAACATACTAATATTCTCGGTGCAACACAAACATTGAACACCGATTTTCAAAAAGAGTTAATCCACAAACTTTTGTTTATTTTCAACCACAACATAATCACTAACAACACTTCAACATTGTCTCTTTATGTGAGAGTGTGGGTGGCTCTTAAAAGAGCCGTTGGGTTTGTGTTTAAAGGCGTTTATCCTCCGAAACCGTACAAGGTGCGTCCCTGTCGCTTCAGCGCGTACACCACGTCCATGGCGGTGACGGTCTTTCTCTTGGCGTGCTCGGTGTAGGTGACGGCGTCGCGGATCACGTTCTCCAGGAACACCTTCAGCACACCGCGGGTCTCCTCGTAGATCAGACCGGAGATGCGCTTGACGCCGCCGCGGCGCGCCAGACGACGAATAGCGGGTTTGGTGATTCCCTGGATGTTATCCCGCAGCACTTTACGGTGCCGCTTAGCGCCTCCTTTCCCGAGTCCTTTACCGCCTTTGCCTCTTCCAGACATGCTACAGATACTTCCTGCTTCAGTCAAGCGACGAACACGAATAAGAGACAAGAGCTCTAGGGAGGCCTTTTACATTTGCTTACAGGACCTAAGTGAAACCAGCGCGCGTCACTTGGCGCACCCCTCCCCCGCTAGTTAGAGCGGGACACAGTGAGGTTTAACCCAAACCTGATCTAACAGTGTCTGTCCTGTGTTTCATATTAAAATCCATGTTTACATGATTCATTCGACAAAGATTTATGAGATCATATCTGCATAATATTGGCAAATGCTTTTAACCAAACTGACTTACATGTCATCATCATCATCATAGAGCTGCAGGAACACACCAAATAAATAGAGCTACAGATGTCCTATCAAACATTAAATCAGTGGTTCTCAATTTATTTTAAATAAAAACCTATTATAACGAAATTACTTGTATTTTCACATTAAACATGTCAACAGACATTTATGACTCACTTTAAACTTGAAAATGTATAATACTTAATATTAACCTCATATATAATTACATTTGGCTGTAATATATACACATGCGTATTAGATGGCCATTTATTTGCCTACAGAAGTGTCACTGCACATCCACGTTGTTATGTTTTTGCATGTGCGTAACCTTCCTTGAAGTAATTGCAACTAGGGATTCATAAAACGTAGACCGAAAACAACTCATTAAACATTTGAGTGCCATGTTATTTTGATTTATATTCAGCGTTACAGTGGAAACTCTCGTTCAGTGTGACTGTGGTGGCTCTTAAAAGAGCCTTTGGGGTGTACTGCGGCTGCTGCAGCGGCGGGTTTAAGCGCGCTCTCCGCGGATGCGGCGGGCCAGCTGGATGTCTTTGGGCATGATGGTGACTCTCTTGGCGTGGATGGCGCACAGGTTGGTGTCCTCAAACAGACCGACCAAATAAGCCTCGCTGGCCTCCTGCAGGGCCATGACAGCGGAGCTCTGGAAGCGCAGGTCCGTCTTGAAGTCCTGAGCGATTTCTCGCACCAGACGCTGGAAAGGCAGTTTGCGGATCAGCAGCTCGGTGGACTTCTGATAGCGGCGGATCTCTCGGAGAGCCACGGTCCCGGGCCTGTAACGATGGGGCTTCTTGACGCCGCCGGTGGCTGGGGCGCTCTTACGGGCGGCTTTAGTAGCGAGCTGCTTTCTCGGGGCTTTGCCGCCGGTGGATTTACGAGCGGTCTGCTTGGTTCTTGCCATTGCTGAGATCTACTTCTGTCTCTGCTCTGCAGTGAGTAGGAAATGCTGCTGTATGTTACGCGCCTGCTTTTAAAGCATCATACGGCCACAGCTTATGGCGTCATAACGGTGCAGAGGCTTGTGATTGGCTGATCTGTGACGTCTGCGCATGACTGCTAGCCAATGACTGCGCACCTCCTATTTTCAAATAGAGCCGTTTGTTCCCACTCAAAATGCTTTGTTGTTTATTATTTTATATATCAAACACTATACACTAATACAATCTTTACAAGTTTTCTACTAACATTATTTTATATAATCCTTATGAAATATTTATTCTTTGGTTTATTTATTTTAAAATTTGGTTTAAATTTATTCCTTGGGTTTAAATAGTCTCCAGCAGTTGATAGTATTTGCAGTTACTCACTTAACAATTGTACAGTATACTCATTTGGTTGATAATTATGGCGTCAAAAGTGGGACAAAACAGCGCAAGCGCATGAACACAGCGCGCAAGCGAATTACAGTACTGTGCGCACAGTGACAAAGCTCGCACAGATACTCGAGCACAGCCGCCAGATAAACGGGAGCTCCGGCACCGACGCGCTGTGCGTAGTTACCTTTGCGGAGAAGCCTGTGAACACGACCGACGGGGAACTGCAGCCCTGCTCTGGAGGACCGAGTCTTGGCCTTCGCTCTCGTCTTGCCACCGATTTTGCCTCTTCCACTCATTATTGGTTGTGTAAAACGTCTACTTTTGTCAAGCAGAAATAATGAACTTATGAGCCCCGCTCTACTAGAGCGTGCGAGTCGCCCATTGGTTTAGAGTCTGTAAGATTTCAAACCAATCACTGAACTTCCCTCCAACAGCGACCGCTAAAGCCACGCCTCCACAGCTGGCGGTCGGATTGTGCAGCGTTAAGAAACAACGCCACAGAAAACATTCAAGAAATCGGTGGTTATATTAAAATTTTTGTTATATTATTTTTGAGGAGGTTAAATTCCTTTGGTATTAAAGCTTCTTATGTCTTCTGTTCTATGCAGTGCTCTGCTGGGAGCTAATATCACTGTGGATGATAAGAAAAGGATTAATAAAATGATCAGAAAGGCCGGATCAATTATTGGTTTTACTCCAGATTCTTGAGGTTTTTGTGGAAAAGAGAACAAGGGCAAAACTGAAACTGATTTTGTACTATGAAGGACCACTAGATGGTGTTTTTAGTACTTCAGAGTAGAGGGTGACACTGGAGTAGATGTTCAAACCTCTCCCGTCCCGATCCCAGAAGAATGACTCCCATTCCCTCCCACTCCCATGTTGTGTTTTTTTGGCCGGAATCTGTCAGTTACAGTAAAAAATACCGTACAGATCACAGCATACCCACTTTAGTTGAATATAAATTCAAAATGTAGTTTTTTGTTATTTTATTGAACTGAAAGCTAGCTTAAACAATGCACAGTGTGCATTGCACACACATTAAATTTCATGTAAATCATGCATGCTAACACACGTTTTCTATTTTAATTTTTTTCATTTGAAAGTAGACATTTCACTCTCTATAAATATATTTATCATACATGGAGTTTCGAAGTTTCTCGCTCAAGACCGAGACGGCAGAAAGCGCACACGAAAAAACTGGGGGAAAATCCCGTCCCGTCCCAATCCCAGAAGAATGACTCCCATTCCCTCCCACTCCCATGTTGTGTTTTTTTGGCCGGAATCTGTCAGTTACAGTAAAAAATACCGTACAGATCACAGCATACCCACTTTAGTTGAATATAAATTCAAAATGTAGTTTTTTGTTATTTTATTGAACTGAAAGCTAGCTTAAACAATGCACAGTGTGCATTGCACACACATTAAATTTCATGTAAATCATGCATGCTAACACACGTTTTCTATTTTAATTTTTTTCATTTGAAAGTAGACATTTCACTCTCTATAAATATATTTATCATACATGGAGTTTCGAAGTTTCTCGCTCAAGACCGAGACGGCAGAAAGCGCATCCTGTTTGCTTTAATTATTTTACAGAAGCGCAACGTTTCGTTGTTATTCTGAGTGCACACAAATAAACATAGAGTCTTTACAGATTCGAAAGATGTATTACTTTTATCTGTATGACCAAAATTTACGGAGTATTTTAAGAGCAAGTGAGCGCAGCTCTCCATCTGTCCTGCTGTGAGCGCGCTGCTCTTCAGCTCCACACACACTTGAACAGCGCACATTTCTCCAGTTAACATTAGACTGAGCGGCCATGTAAAGTTGTTACTACATACATCTTTCAGATGAAAAGCCATATTTGAGGTCGATGAATGATAGGCGAGTGTCTGGATGTCCTGCCTGATGTACTGTATTATTACCACATAGACCAGCCGTTAACGATCTGTTCGTCACGGACTGCGTACGTCATTCACTTAACCAGCCACACCAGAGCAAACAGGAGGAGAGCACAAAGAGACAGGGCAACTAGAATTGAGTTAAAAATTAAAATATACAGTTTACAGTTTATTTATATAAAAGGTATATTTGTGTATAAAGTTGGGTATCATAGTGTTATTTAGGGCTGGGTATCGATTCAGATATCCCGATTCGATTCGATTTCGATTCACAAGCTCTCGATTCGATTCGATTCTCGATTTTTTTATTACATTCAGTGAATATAGTTTTAATACAAATGCTATTGATATTTCTAAAA